AGGCCTGCTCCTCCTGCTTATTGGCCTCGCTTTTCTTTGCAGAGAACTTCCCAGTGCTGCGTGTCGGGGGCAGGGCTGTGTGGGCGCTGGGTCCAAGCGGTGCACTGCGGGGGAGGGTGGGACAGACGGCTGGGGGCCTCAGTATGGCAGCAGTGGGCCCACGCAGGAGCTGAGTCGGACCCAAGAGAGACTGATCGTAGCGAATTGCTTGGCGTGTTGCCTCCCCTTTGTCCTGCTCCTGGTCTCCAGCGCGGGCCTGGCCTCCTGAGATGGGGAATCGGTCCACGCTCTGTGAGCGGGGTCGGGGCCCAGGCGGGTGTGTCGGGTGCGTCTGTGCAGCGCAGAGAGGGTGCGCTTACCTTGGGTTAGCTGCCTCCCTTGGAGTGACCAGGCAGGTGCAAGCGCTCGGATTTCAGCCCGTTCCACTTGGCGTTCCTGGGGGAGCCGTGCCCCTCTTTGCAGCTGCTCCGCGTTCCCGTCCCTGGCTCCCTGGCTGGTTCTCATCTCAGCCTGGCCTGAAGGGGGCTGGCTTCATCCCTCCCGCGGGCTGGCTCCTGCGTGGCTGAGGAGCTGCGTGAGAACGGGCAGCGTGAGGCGCAGGTGGCGCTCCTCTGTCTGCACGCACTGCGCCTGGGGAGTGGCCTCCCTTGGCATGGGGGCTCTTGGGGGCCTGAGGGGACGATGGAGCTCGGGGGAACCCCCGGCCAGTGTAGTGGGGCCTGTCGCTGGGCTTTGCAGGTTCCGCGGTGATTTTCCCAGGGCAAGGGGGAGGTTTTGGGGTGTCTCGCTCTTCCCCTTGGCGCAGCGGCTTTGGCACAAGCCGAGACCCACCCCAGAGGCTGAGCTAGCAGGAAGGTGTTTTCCACGGCGAGATGGGTACGTGCCAAGCGCGGGGCCCGTCCTGCGACGAGCTGACTGAGCTTAGCGCCACGGGCAGCCGGGGAAGTGGCGGGCGCTCAGCACCTCGCGGGGAGGGCTCAGCATCTCTCTGGCTAGGGCCTGATGTTCTCTTAGCACTGGTTGATCTGCCAGCCGAGGCTGCTCTCTCCCTCCCTGGAGCAAGGCACCCAAAGGTGCCCAAGCTCAGATGGAGCCTACAGCCTGCGCTGTGAATTATTGAAAACGTGCCGTGTGTGGAGCCACCGAATGCTGAACCCCCGGCCTAGCGTCCGCAAGCGGCTCCCCAGAGCCAGCGCTGCCTTTTCGGCTGCAGAATCCGCGTTCTCTGTCACCAGAGGGGCGCAGGGAGCGTTTGGAGCTGCTCTGTTTCGCCTTCCAGGCCAGGTGTCCTCCCAAGGGCAGGGGCTGTGGGCCAGACCCACCTCTCGTGTAGGCCGACAGGAGTCTCTTCATTCCCACCCCTGGAGCGCGGTGGGCAGGGGGCTGCCCCAGCTCAGCAGGGCCGCCTTGCGGCGGGCGGGGACCACGTCCGCCCAGGCAGGCCGGAGCAGCCCCCGCCTGCGCCGCTTAATGAATGGGATTTTACATCCTGCCTTGGACTTGCGTGGACCTGCCCGCGTTCCCCCCCTGAGCAGGCGGCCGTGTGCCTGCCATGCAGTGCCCGCTGCGAGGGGTGGCTGCAGCGCATGGTCCACTGGGAGTGCACTGCAGAGCCGCAGGCCCCGTGCGAATCCCGCAAACACCCCCCAGCCGCAGCCCTCCCTGCTCAGGGGCCTGGCTGGGCTTCCTGCTGCCCTGCCTGGGCTCGGTAGGGCACCCCGCTGTCTCTGGGCAGAGCAGGTTCTGTTGAGCGAGCGCTTGTGGGGAGGCTGGGCCTGCTTTGCCCTGCGCCGGGCCGGTGGCCTCGGCAGACTGCACGTTTCAGGTGGGACTCTCGTTCAGCTCTCGGAGGGCGGCAGAGTGGGATTCAGGCAGTGGCCTTGGTGGAACGTGTACCGACAGCCCTCTCCCCAGGGTTCCTGAGAGCGCTTTGTCTACAGCCGCGGAGCTCCAGTTCTGCGCCCCCATCCTCACCCACTGGGCCCTGCATTCGCCTGTTCGGACGCCGCTCTGGAAGGAGGAAGCGGAGTTGTTGCTGTGGGGAGGCGGCTCGCCTGTCCTGCTCCTCCCTGTGGCCGGGTGTGACGGACCGGGCCGTGTCTGGGCACAGCTGAGGGCGTCCGCTCAGGGTGAACTGCTCGAATCCGGGGCTCCTTACAGCCCCCGACTGGGGACCTCTCCACACAGGCCACAAACCAGTCCCACAGAGCGCTTCAGCTGCCTGCCTGAAGCCTCACGAGCAAAACCCCTCCGACACCCCAGCAATATCCGTGCCCCAGATGGCCCCGGGCCTATACACAGGTGGGGGGTCCTAGCACCCAATCCCACCTACCCCGAACAAGTTCTGTCCGGTTCCAAGAAACCAGCCACAGATCCCTGGTCAATTTACCCTCTGGACCTTACCCACAAATCACGCTGGGCCAATCCTTTAGAATCTATATCTAAAGGTTTATTATTACAAGAAAGAAAAGCCTGAGAGTAAGGTTATTAAAGTACAGTACGTTACATGCACTGAATCTCCCAGTTCTCGATGCAGGCTCTAGCAGAGATGTTACAGCTGGTGGTTTAAAAGTTCTTATTGCACATCCTACGATCAGGATGGGTTCACAGGTCTTCCGGGCTCTTCAATCCCTGCAGTGCTGCCTCTGGGATGAAGTGCTGAGCTGAGAACAAAATGGCATCGACCACATGGCCTCTTTATACCTCCTTCCTGGCCTCTTCTGGTCTCAGCCGGTCACCTGGTCCTCAGCCTCTCTCTGCTGGCCGCTCTTAGGTGTCCGCCCTCATGCTTTAGGTGTGTCTTTGGGCCATCAAGTGCCATTGTCCCACAGGGCTTCACTAATCAGCCTGTCCATAGCAATGCTCAACCACATTCAGAGAAATATTCAGCTTCCACACAGATTACAGATCTACACACACAGACATTATATACTCACATAAACAGTGTACACAGGATCAGAAAACAATAAGCTCCCATTCAATACCCCACATGGCTCTCTTTCATACCAATTTCTGGGGCCAACACCCCCACGTAGGGGTGCAGCAGCGATCTGGCTGCTTCCCTCCAATTCGGTAATGTGACACCGGGTCCTCTCCATACAGAGCTGGCGGGCTCGTGGGCTGCTTCCACTCCGTCCTGCAGCCGGCGATCGGTTCCGTGCGCCCTGCAGCGGCTCCCTGCGTGCTGCGTCGGACACGTGTGCGGCGGCCGAGATGGGAGCTGCTGTCACTGGGCTCCTGGCTCATTCCCCACCTGCCGGCAGACGGATTTTTCCACCCTCGTCAGCCCTTGATTGTCTGCTCTTCCCATCGCCAGAAGGCTGCCCACAGCTCTGAGTGGGCAGTGACAGAGCTGGCACGCTGCACCCTCCTCGGGGCTGCATTAATGGGATGTGGCGCGGCTGATAGCCGCCGGTCTCGCACAGCTGTGATCGCCTAGGCCCAACCGTGCTAATGGGCAGTTATTCCTAAGGCCGGCAGAGCCGCCCGGGGCTGGTGAGTCCACAAAGCAGGGTGGTCCTGGGAACTGGATTTTGTTGTCCAGATTTAACACAAAAATAAGTCCCTGGTTGCTGGGGTGGGTGGCCTGGGAGCCGTGGCGAGCTCCCAGTGGCCCCCATCCCCCGTGGAGAGTTCCCCATGGCTCCCCCGACCCCGTGGAGAGTTCCCCACGGCTCCCCTGCCCCCGTGGTGAGTTCAAGAGCAGCGGGGAGCTCGTGGCTGGGGCGGCCCCCAGTATTTGTGGATTTCACCTCTTGCGGTGGTGCCAGGGATGCATCCTCCACGACCTGAGCGGCGAGGGTTTCCTGTACATGAATCGTCACCCCTTTGGTGCGTGCCAAGTGCGTTACGGGGGGGGCTCCGCAGAAAGGCGGAATTGGCCCTGGGCCATTTGGAACGGGGTACTCAGTGCGGCGGTGAGCAGGGAGGCTGCTGTGGCCCGAGCTACGTCCGTCCCTGCTGCTAGCTGCGTCTCTTGCAGTTGTGGGAGCCAGACATGCGCCCGGGGAGCCCCTGCGGACTGAGTTACTGTCACTTCTCTCCTAAGGCTCCTCGCCGGGCACACTAGGGCCAGTGGAAAGACTTCCCTTGTCACCGGGCCGGGCTCCGCGCTCCCTGTGCCTGGCCCACGACTCTCCTGCGTTTGGCAGCCCCCGGCCCCCACGGCGGCGTTTTCCCGTCAGTTACACGGTGCCGGCGCCATCAGGGACTGCCTGCGCATTTGCAAAATGAACAAACCACGCCCGTGGGGATGGGCAAACCCATGCAGCTTTCATCCGAGTGGAGCACACTAGTGGGGATGTGTCTGAGATCCGTGGGGCGAGGCTTGTGGTGAGATCCCGGGGCGTCTCGGTGCTGGTGAGTCCGGCGCACTGCGGGAAGACTCTCCCGCGAGGGAGGGGTACCGAGGAACACGGCGATGTGGAGGAGATGACTAGCGCAAACCATGCGTCCCAGCCTCTCCCCCCGATTCCTTCGCCTCCAAGTTGTTTGGGCGTCTCTCAGGATTCCCGGGCAATGGTCCGCTTGTGCGGCTGCTCGGGAGTTTCCAGTGCCACCCCGCTGATCAGCAGAGCGCCCACAGCCGGGTGTATGCGTCTCCTGGAGGTGCACGTTGGCATACCTCTCAGAGCACGTAACAACATTTATTCTGCACCTGGGTGGAAAAAATGTGCAGATGGATGCAAAAGATGAGGGAACGTTGGTGTCCAAGTTCAGAGGCTAGTTTGGGGGGAGTTATTGGCCCCCACCAGTTCACACCCCTCTAATCCCAGGTTTGTGTGCTTGGTTAGTGTGAATTGCCCTGTACATCGGGGCGTGGGCGTGGGGGGGGGTAGTGCGCGCTAGAATGGGTAAGCATTGGTTTCCTTCATGTTAATTGTGATTCCATCCCCAGTTACAGCCTTCAACTAGAGCCCAGGGGTGGGGAGCAGAGGGGCCTTGGCTCAGAGCTCGGGGACGAACACACCCGGGTCCTACTTGGTTGGTTTGTCTCGTAGGTCGCTGGATCGAAAGCTGCAGAGGCCTATGCTGGGAAAGTCCCGGACTCTCCCCAGCATCCCTCAGTCCCCTGTCCTCAGCCGGGCTCCCCTCTTGGACCCCAGGCTGTTCCGGGAGGAGATGCTGGAGCAGAAGCACAAGCAGCACTCGGCCGCAGGCAGTGCGAAAGGCTGCACCGTGCCCTCTGCTGGTGAGTGGCAGCAAATGTCTCGTCTGTGTGTGGGGGGGAGGGGGGCTGTCTGTCTGTCTGTCTGCCTGCCTCGCGGAGCTTTGTGAGACCCTGACGAGCTTCCTGAGACGCCCCGCTAAGGACCCAGCCGGCCTGGGATCTACCCGCTGGACTGGGTTGCCTCCGCGCCCCTTGCGGCGGGGGAGCAGTGCGCCGGGGTCTGGAAACGGAAGGAAGTGGCGTGGCAGTGGGGTGCCGGAGCCTTTTGCCCTTAGCTCCCGGGAGCTGCTGCAGCTGGGGTGCGAAGGGC